AATTCCTTGGGCTTTTTGTTTCTGGAAAAAGGATGGTTTTGCTATAATGACACAACTTCCCTCTGCGTTTGCTGCTTACCCTGGACCCAGAGCACCACGAGGCAGAGCAGGGGAGCCAGTGAGACCATCTTGGTACGTCTGCCTGGCCTGACACCGATCACCATTTGGTACAAACTGGCCTGGAGCACTTATACTGGTGCCGAGCATGAGGAGGGCGTTGACTGGGTGTAAAACATACAAATTTGGCTCAGAGATGATTTGCAAGTGATCTAAAAATAAGCGGTGACAGGCACGTGGTGTTGAAGGGGGCAGACACAGGGGGTTCACGGGAGCCCCTTCACTTTGTGCTGAGCTGGTATTGTCACAAGTGGGTGGGAAGAGGGTTGTGATCTCGTACTTGTTTGGGCATCAATGTCTTTAATGCCTATTAGACATGTCCTGCTGGACACAGTGTCACTAGGGTGATGTTCCTGTGTTAGGGGAGCCATAGGGGAAGTGACTTCCTCACTCCTTGCTCTTTTTCTTCAGCCTAGAAATCTTGCATAACGTAAAGAAAAGAGGAAGCTCCTGAACTTGGCCCTTCTCGAGAATTTTCCAGCCATATTGAGCACTGTTCACCTGGAAGACCCTTTCATTGCACATGGTCTCTTTTTTTCTCTTTTTTTTTGATTCTCCCAGAAACCATCTCCCAGGTGAAAAAGCAAGGCAAATGGGGCTTTCATGTTAGAGCATCTTTTTCGATGATTTAGCTGGGAGTCATGAATGCTCTGAATAAAGGGGCAAGAGGTGATCACCCACAGCATTTTTTTATATCAGCCCAGCAGGAAGGAGTCACGAATCATACTAGTAATGCCCAGGTCTAGTAACTAATCCATGATGATCTGGAATGATACAATTTCCCAGGCACCACAACTATACGGGACACAATATAAATACCAACCCCTTCCACATTGTCATGAAAACTCCCTTATTAGACTAGAGATTTCTCCACCCCTTACCCATCTGGAGCACCTGCTCACTGGGAACTGCACCGTTGACTGGAGCATAGTGGGCTGATGGGAGATCTCTGACTGTCCAAGTGAGTGTGCAAGGAGGACATGACACATGTTGTGTAACAGCTCCACAAAGGAAATGACTGTTCAGAAAGTGAACTGAGCAGTGCTGCCCCATTTCCTTATGGTCCATCCCTGTGAGCAACAGATGATGATAGTGGTGACAGGAATGTTCCCCAGCATCTGAGCTGTGCAGCGTTGAGCACAGAGCAAAATGGAGCCGTTGTGATTCCTCGCTGCCCAGGGAAAAAACAAATCAGTCAGTTATGTCAATGCAGATTATGTCATCTCAGCATCTGCTGTATAAGGACTGGTGTTTTCTATGGAGAGATTTAAATACTGCACATTACAGTTACTAGGCTTAAATCTGATCTCAGTTTACTCATTAACATTGTTGAAGTGAGATCTGCATAACGCCCCAGGACAGTTGCTGGTATCCTGCAGAGGATTTGCATAGTTAGACCGTGCAAAATGTTTTCTATTTTTGTGTTTCCTGTCTTGATGGTGTGCTGCCAGAATTGCCAATGCCCCAGTGCATAAGGTACAGGCTGCCATCTCTTGGGCACTCTGATCTCAGTTTACTCATTAACATTGTTGAAGTGAGATCTGCATAACGCCCCAGGACAGTTGCTGGTATCCTGCAGAGGATTTGCATAGTTAGACCGTGCAAAATGTTTTCTATTTTTGTGTTTCCTGTCTTGATGGTGTGCTGCCAGAATTGCCAATGCCCCAGTGCATAAGGTACAGGCTGCCATCTCTTGGGCACAGTGTAGAAGTTGATTATCATCTGGTGTGCTAGTTTAACCCTAAGGTTAACCACCTTTTCCAACATGTACCTAGTCTAACAGGTGTGTTTAATTGATGTGTTAATTAAAATGTGGGGTTCATTAATTTATCTCCCTGATGTATACCTGTCATCCTAGCTATAAAGATATGGAAAACATCAGATCAGGCCTTTTTCTCTTGCTACTGTAATTTATAGTAGACGGTACCACCTGCCACTGTTAACACCGAATGCTGGGCGGCAGTTGTATAACCTGGCCACCTCTAGGGTGCCAGTGGCTTTGGGGAGAAGACCAGCTTGGAGGGAAGTACTAGTTTTAGCCCTGGCAGAGCGAATGCCACCAAAAAGTTGTGGAAATGAGGGCCACTCCATGATCAGGTAGACTGGGCTCTTGAACCTTGGTCAGAAGCCAGTCCAGGAGCAGAGTCCTGTCCACACTTGCGAAGGGGATGTTTTTAAGACATGCAAATGGGTATTAAGCTTGGGGCATATGTCTGTGTTCACTGCAGAGAGCCATCATGCTCACACTGCCAATAGCCTTGTGTCAAATGCCTTACCTCTCCTAGAGTGCTATTATCATGTATGTTATTGTGCGTCCTTGGGTCTGAATCATGGGCCAGGACCCCATTGTGTTGGGGAAAGTGTATGACCATGGATCAAATAGACAGGACTTGTCTGAAAAAAACCTACCCTTGAAGTATAAGACAAGGGGCAAGAGGGATGCACACAGATGAATGAAGGAGGAGACGGGATCACCATGATTATAGTAGCTAGCCTAATGGGAAGAAGTATTGGCAGGCTTACCAAAGTGCTGTTTGTGTGGAGTAATTGGATGGGGGCTTCTCCTGAGAGTGAAGGGCAACTGAGAGGAGAACGGGAAGGGGAAGAGCAGAGGTAGAGCGCGCCCAGAAGTGGAGCTGCTGAACGGATGGAGAGAAAGTGGAGGAAGCAGCTGTCCATGCAGTTCACAGGTTTTTGTTGTGGTCTGAGTGAAGGCTGTTGTGGGTCTGGAGACAGTAATAATCCCCAGCATCTTGGGCTTCAACGCTGCTGCTGGTGAGAGAGAAGTCTGCTCCAGACCCTCGGACACTGAACCGGGCTGGGACTCGTGATTGCAGAGGAGGAGATGCAGATGGCACACAGATGAGGAGTTTAGGAGCTCGTCCAGGTCTCTGCTGGTACCAGGAGAAGTATTCATTTCCTGAGTCGGTAAGGCTGGAGCTGGCTTTGCACCAGATGGTGAATCTGTCTCCTGGGGAAGCCCCCAAGGATTGTGGCATCTGAGTCAGTACAAAGTCCCTGCTGGCATCTGAATTTATGAGCAAAAATATAATTAATTGTACAAAGTAGATGACTAATGTGAACTGCATTATGTTGGTTTGAATATTCTCATTTGTACCTTTGTCAAGTTACTGCAGCTCATTAACTGACCCTGGCTGTAAATATTAAACTCATGTTGCATCCCTTTTTCCTTTGCTAACAACCTCCTTCTTTTATCAGCAGTTTAGAAGTAGTCAGTATTTTCTGAGCCTGGTGACATATGAAGATAAATATTGCCTTGTTGTAGGACCTATTTATATCCAAATGTCTTTGGTTGGCTCCATTTCTGACCTTATGGCAGAGCTCCCTTTTCCTGTCTGGGATTGTACAGTGTCTGGAACAAAAGGTTCATGGCCCTCTGGCTCTTTTTGCAGCACAAATAGTAATAGTGAGAAAGCCAGTGCCCTCTTGGCTTGTTGCTTATCCTGGATCCAGAGCACAACCAGGCAGGTGAACTGAGCCGGGGAGATCATCATGATGCGTCTGGCACCCAGCACTGATCATCCAGCCCAGAAGAACTGCACCAAAGCATTTATAAGAGCTCAGGGAAGCAGGGAAATCTCCGTGCCTGTGAACTATGCAAATCTGGGTCAGAGATGAACATTCGTTGCTGAGCCGTGTCGTGGGCAAAGGGGAGGGAGCCCCGTGAAGGCGGCCAGTTCAGTCCCTGGGGTTGGGCTCACAGGGCACGTGCCAGGGCTGACACTAACGGTTCTCAGTTGATGGTTTTTGCTTCAGGGCTGGTTGGTGTCAGTGTTATACTAGATGTCTCCTCTCAAGCTATGCGTTTGCAAATCAACTTGGTTTTCATTCCTTTTCCTTTGGCCCCTGAAATTAAGTGTCAACAAGAGAGCTGATTTTTATACAAACCAGGGATTGTTTTTTGTGCTAAACTTAACCTCCTCCCTCCCCCCAAATCTACAAATATTGTATCACACATTTTACTTTAGGGCTTCATAACAGAAGAAGTGGATGTTCGGGCCTAGGACTAGGCACTGTGAGCAGAAGGAAGAGGAGGAGCTGACAGCCATATCCCCCTTCATGCCACACCTCAGTGTTTGGGCATGTGGGAGAGTGAGGACTGGTGCCTTTTGCTGCAGGAGATCTGAACCCATGTTTCCAACAAGACAGCTGTACTGATGGTTTAAGTATTTAATACAAACATGAGCAGCATTAGCAAGGTAGTCTTAGAGGGACTGCTTGGAGCAGGGGTGGCCAGCCTGTGGCATGGGTGCCACAAGTGCCACAGTCACCCTGTGTGTGTGACATGTGGCAGATCAGGTAGGGGACAGGCAGCACAGTGGCAGATAGGATAGGGAGCAGAAAGCAGGGTAGCAGATCAGGTGGGAGACAGAGAGCAGAGCAGCAGATTGGCCAGGGAGCAGGGCAGGAGGGAGAAAGCATAGCAACAGATCCGGGAGGGGAAATGGATTGGAGGGCCACTTAGACGGGGGCTAGGGCTAAATTGTGGCACGCCTGTTGCGAGAGGTGCAGGTTCAACTCCACTTTCAGATTTCAGCCGAGAGCGTCCGTACTGCCAGAGAGTGCCAGGTCTTAGGATGCTGAGTAGGAAGAGGCAGGCTCATGGGTTTTACACTCAGCTGTTCAGAAAATCCAGCCTGAATGAAAAAGCAGCTGAGGACCTACCCAAACTGTACATTTGTTGAATTAACTAGTCCCCCATGATATTCCCTCCTGATCCAATTTTAATCATTCATACGTTTCTCAGCCACACAAGTCTCTGAACTAATGTTGCATTGAAGTAGAGAGCTCCAAGCCTTGCATCACTCCTGAAGTCGTGTTTGGCCTTTACTCCACTGTGCTTCTAGGCTTTTCAAACTGTGTCTGCAGCAGGTATACCTTGCTGCATCCCACCTTCTCTTATTTTATTTCAGGGGTGACCAATCTGTTACATGTTTGCCACAAGTGCTCAGGCAGCCTCTGTATGTGTCATGCAGCAGATGAGGGAGGGAGCAGGGAGCACAGTGCAGATAGGACAGGG